AAACAATAACCCAGGAACCTAGCAGCAGAAAGGAGGAGAAAGAGAAGGTATCTCCCTCGGTTACTAATGGCTGTCTTGCTAAATGTGCTCCTGGAGCATGCTGAGATGCTGAAGTCATGAGGGTGGTGTGAAGCTGTGACAGAGGTAAGAGATGTCTACAGTCTATTAATGACTGATTCCCTACCAGTGTAGCTGCAGGTGATCATTAATCAGAGAATACTTCAGAGCAGGGAGGGATTTGAAAGAGCATAGGTCACCATTCAGAGACAAAGGGGAGCTGGCAGCAAAAGCAAATTGGCAAGGGATGTGTGCATGCATCTCCATAAGGAGGACTGTGTTAATGCAGAGCTGGAGGGGAGGTGCTGCTACCAGCTTTGTTCCCTTTCTGGTTGCAGGGAGCTGCTCCCCGCCATGGGACAGGGATGGGCAAGATCCCTGCGGCCTCTCCATGGAACCTGGAGCTGGTCTAAGGTAAAAATGAGGGCTCCAGCAGAGAAGAGAGAGACCTTCCCCTGGGGCTCTTATCTGGCATTGGTATCTCCATGGCATGGGCATGGGCCAAGGTATGGCACTTGTAATGTTTCTAGAAGGAGTTTCAAGTCTGAGTGTACCCCACCGAGGTACCCCCCTGGCCAGCAGCTCTGAGAATGGACTGCACAGAGCTTGGAAAATAATGAGAAGCCACAAGCAAACTCAGAAGAAAATGGCTTAAATAAAGGCACTTCTGCCAGTTCTGCCCATCTCCTCCCATTAGAGTCTCCTCAGACACAGGAATATGCCTGGTTTACCCCAAAAAAATTATTTTGTCCTGTTGCTATCTTACTGTTAAAACATTTTCAATTCAGACTGTGCAGTAAGTCCCCAAAGACCCACTCCTGAAGTCAACAGGAAGAAAACCCAGGCTTGAGTGAGAAGCGGCTGTGGGCTGCAGTGCAAAATTAATCCCAAGGATTAATTTTGAATTTAGGCCATGAAAATGCCTCTATCTTTTGACTGTAATTTCTCTAATTTTACCTCATCTCCAGAAATATCAAAGTCCTTAAATATCTTCTTAAGTTATTCTTTCTTGATGTTGAAGAGAAACCTTGTGGCTTCAAACTCATTAAAATCAATCATATTATCCCCATCTACATCCAGCAGTTGAAAGGCAGGTCCTGTGTGCTGGTGGATGAACTGCTTTTCAAGATGGTTCTGTTTTGGGGCAGAAAGGTTTAGAAACAGATGATAAGCACCGATTTCCTGCTTGGAAAGAATACATGGAATACCAACCGGTGTTCGCGTCCAGAGAATAAAGGTGACCTCCTGCTAGTTGCGCCCGCAGGAAATACCAAAATCCTGGTGCTTCCTGCCATGGAGCCACGCAGGAGCAGGCGGCTGTTGCCGGCTGGGTTTGGGCTGCGGGCTGTGCTGGGGAGAGCTACCGACAGCCAGCCAAGCTCCAAGGCTGCTTTGTGAGGTCCTTTCCCATCCCTCCCATGTGCCGAATGACTTGCAGGGCTATGTCCCGCAGTTGGCTCCTCTCCTTCCTCCCTGAGTCCTGCAGGCAGCAGCCCCAAGCGCTGGCCCTCAGCTGGGTGTCTGGTCCAGAGCGGAGCTGCTGGACGTGTCCAACAGCAAGATGAGCTCTGGGGGTAACCCTGGCTTTACCACCCCTCTCCCTCACCGCAGCCTGCTGTCATCGTTGCTTTTCCCTGAAGAGGCACCTCCCCAGCCTGGGCTGTAGGTGATGCCAGGGAGGCTGAAGAAGGGCATCAGCACGTGCTGCACCTACAAGCTAGCAAGAACTGATGGGTGAAAACAGATGCTTTGCTCTCTTCCCCACAGGCAGACGCAGCCGAGGGCTTGTTTTTTGGAGCGCTAAGATGGACAGCCTGAGCTGGGAGGAGTGTTTAGATGGTTTCTACCTTGCAAAAGGTTCAGGGGTGGATTTATGCCAGAGGAACAAGGTTGGTATTAACAGGGGGACTGCTCATTTCCCTGCTTTCCTTTCTGTGCAGCAGCATAGACCCAGGGACCCTCTCCATCCCTTGTACGCCATGAGTAAAGATCAGCTCCAGTGAGCTGATTCCCTTTACGGGGGTGTTGGATGGTGCAGATGTCCCTGTACCAACTCCAGGACCTGCAGGGTACACACCTCACAGGACAGGAGGATGCATGCCACCATGTAGAACTCATTAAAGCAAATTCTTCCCCTCGCATTTCGGTCCAGCAAGTCGAACAGCAGCATAATCTGCTCCTTATTCAGGTCGGTCACATAACAGAGAAAGCAATAAAACTGCAGATGTGGAAAACAGTGAGCTCTCAGGCATCGTCTGCACAAAGCTGAGAGCAATAATTAGCAGGATTTATTTTATTTTAAATGCCTACTGCTCCCAGACACGTTGCACAGGCAATTAAAACACAGGGGCAGACAAGAGATACTGTTCAGAATTAATAGAACAGTATTAGTAAGATGGCTTGATTTATGAAAGGGACATATGTGATTTCTGCACAGAAGGCAACGTTAAAGTGCTCATAATTTTCTATCTTCTTCTCTTCTACCCCACCCCTGGAGGAAAAAAGGACTTTTCCAACAAACCAGAAATACGGGAATAGACTGAAGAACTGCAGGCGGGAGGTGGGGAAGCTGTGAACCAGCGGACGGCGGGGTTGCAAACAGCCTCATGTGGAGGACACTATTGGCAAGAAACCCACCTGCTTTCTAACACAGAGCACGATCGGTTTATGGAAAGGATTACATGATGAGGTTGCTGCAGTACTAAGGAATTAGCTTCAGTGAGCCAGAAATCCCCTCTTGCCCTGTGTTCTGGCATCTCGCTTGCACAGCTGTAAAGATCTCTTTTATGACTGGCCTGGGTTTTTCGTATGTCGATTATCTGCTCATTGTGCCAGGACCTGGTTATCATGTTTGTACAGTACTAACAAGCCTGTGGCTTTGCATGCTGCTGGGATGCAGAGGACGATAAAACCGTAAAATCAAACAGGTTTCATAGGCTCTTGGACCTTTTTCTCTCTCACAAACAGGGAAGGAGGCAATGGAAGGGGGAAGGGGAAAGGAATACCTTCGATGTGAGCTGAAAATGTATCTCAGTGGCTCTGCATGGTCCCCTGAGCCGTACATAATTCAGAAGCCGATGCAGGAGTAGCCAGGCCATGTAACCTTCCAGAGCAGCCGGGGCATGATAGAGCAGGGAGGACATGGTGATATATGCTGTATCTGAAAGCTTTCTGGTGTATTGCCAAGCACTTGTGTTAACCAAGCTGCTAGTTAATTAGTATTACGGAGTGCTGCGTTTGTTGTAACATCTGAAGTGCAATATTTGTAATGTCTGTGATCTCTGGTTTTAAATCCTAAGCGATGTAGCATTCTGTATCTCTCTTTTCAAAACATTACAAAGGGCCTGTAATTTTAGAGCATTAATGCCAATCCCATTTTTAGAAGTACTCACTGTTCAGGTAATTCTTTCGATGAACATCCAGGAGCTGGAAATACTCTGCCAGTGCCGCAGTATTTCTTACTGACAACAAGCAGTATACTTCATCTAAATGCAGATGCTGCAGAAAACACCCAGATTTCAGCTTCACCTCGGCTGGCCGTGGAAGACCAGCGAAACAGAATTAGCGCCATGGCAAAGACCCCTCACAGAAGGAAAATTCTGCCCTAGAACCAGATGCAACCTCCATCCCACAACTTCAATGCTTTTCGCACGTTTTCAAGAATTCCCCTCAGATGTGGAGGCAAAGGCTCCCCTCCCATTCAGCCTTAAAGGATAACAGGTACTAAAATCAAGTGACAGAAATTATTTTCACAGTGCTCAAGAGCATTAAATCTGATTAAAATGTGCAAGATAGTACAGACTTAAGGATTTACTTTAGACTGTAATGCAAATCTCAACCTCAGACAAGTGGTACCCCGAAGTCTGTTGGTCCGTGCTGAGGAGGTCCAACGTAGCAGCCACTGCAGGGCTTTACTCTTCCTCTTAGCCAGGGCTTTGATGCTTCTAGTTTCCAGTACCTGACAGTGTCCTGTGCAATGTGTCTGGGAGCTCTAGTCAGACATGGCTGCTTTTGAATGCTCAATTTCTTGTTCAAGTTCGCTGTTAGGAAGCTGAACCGCTCTTACATTTATATAAAGTGTTTATCGCCCATTCCTTTTCCAACCCAGAATAAGTCCAATCCAGCACAACAATAACCATTGAAAGTGCTCTTTATTCCTTACCCCTAACCGACACCAGGAATAATACTAATAAAATCAAACTCGACTGGCTTACTTTGGTCGACAGACCCTCGTAACCCAACACTTAAAATGCGGAGCTGTATGTAGTCTTGCGGTCAGGTCAGCAGTTTCTTCTCCTTGGGTCGTAATGCTGAGCAAGAGCTCGGCTCTGCTAACGCGTGCTGCTGAGGACTGTGCTGACTCTGAGAGGTCGTAGTTAACGCAATGGTGATGCTCCTGACCATCTGTCCACAGAATCATGGGTGTTCCCAGGAGCTTGGGGCAGATTTGCAAAGTTTTTTGCATTTCTGGAGTTTATATTCTCTTTCTCTCATTTATCACTTGAGAAATGGTAAGAAGAAGTAATTCATTGGTAGATAACTAACCTGTTTGCTGACTTGGTTTGACACCTGTGAGCTTTCTGCAAGAAATGGGTGGAAAGAATTCAAGAGAGAGCAAATCTGCTTATAGGGTATCAAGCGCTGTATAAAAAATGCCACAGCCCTCAAAATGCTGTGCTGAATCAGAGTTGCTCAGAAACTTTTGAAGGGGTAACTTGAGTCTGCAAAATTTATGCCAGCAGAGGTATCACCTCTCTGAGCCCCGATCTGATCAGCCTACCCTCAGACAGTCTACAGGGCATAGGATTTATCTTGGATTCCATACCTTTACAGCACCTGATAAGGACAGATATCCCAATACGTGCCCACAGCTCTTGTAGGGGCAATGACAAAGATGACGGAGTCAAACGCTTATCAGGGAGGCAGATGACAGAACAAGGGCGATGACCGCAGGTAGCAGCTTGGGATGTCCAGCGGCACATTAGGAAAAACCCTCCCCCAGGATGGTGATGCGCCCTGGAGCAGGTAACCCCGGGAGGTCATGTCTGCTCCATCCTGGAAGGTTTTTCAAGACTCAGCTGGACAGATTGCTGTCTGACCTGGTCCAGTGCTGGTGACACTCCTGCTCCAAGCGGGAAGCTGGCCTAGATGATCTCTGGGGGTCCCATCCAAGCAATGTTTCTATGGTTGTATGCAACGCCCAGATCCCCTAGTACAATAAAGTAAAAATGCTACTGTTAATAAGAATGATAACTTTAAAAAAATGATAGCTAAAACACTGGAAAAATTGAGATTAAAAGTATGAAATTTTGAACATAGTTGCTCTGGTTCTGTTCTATTCTGTTCTTACTCCAGTATTGCCAAATCCACACATTATATCAGATCAGATCCAAAACCCATGAAGTTAGGTGAAAAAAAGTGCTCAATGATTTTCAGGTTCTTTCTGTTTCAGGGATATACTTGGGTTGCATTTTCAGCTTGTTTTTCCTACAACTCAGTGGGGAGAAGGGAAGAAGTAGGGGAACACAAAACTTTCTCCAAAAAAAGCAGCTGAAATTCTCGCCCAGCCATAAATTTCCGGGAACCAGACTTTTAAATAGTATTTCAAGCATCAGTATCTATTGGGAAATTCCCAATAGAAATGTGAGGGCTGATCATACCAGGATAAACCCAGTTTTTCTTAACACCAAAGACAGGGAGAGGCGACGATCAGCCCCCGTGCTCTAGGGTATATTATATCAGGGAACTAATGAGAAATCACCAAGCCCAGATGTTCTCAAAGCAAGAGCCTGTGCTGAGTTTCACCCGCGTTACACCTCAGGATGGAGTGTGCAAACGCACCCCCTCCCGTACCTCCACCCTCGGCTCGTTAACGGGACATGTATACGGGGCAAAATACACACGCTGGTGTGAGCGGTGCTGGTATCACTGAGGTTTGCCCGGACAACCATTTACCACTAAGCCTTCTGTTAAAAACAGAGATGTTGTCAGGCACGGCTGCACCGTCGGGTATTTCCCCTAGATGTCCCTATTTAATACTTGATTTCAAGCCGGTTTTTCAGAGTTTTTGAAGTTTTGCCAGGGAGAGGACGCAAACCTTCACACTTGACACCACTTGGGTCACATCTTCTCTAAATCAAATTCATGGCGGGTGCCCGTGGTGCCGATACACTCGAATTCCTGCTACTGGGAGTTTTTAAAATATTTGTGTTTGGCTGTTTTCACATGAGATGAACTGGGGGAAGAAGGAAACGTCCCTCTGTTGCCAAGGCAGTTTAGGATTATGTTTTTACACTCGGAGATGCGTCTCTTTGCTCGGCCCCCAGCAGCGCAGCCCGTGAGGCGAAGCACAGCCCGTGTGGGTGCTGTTGGCTCGCCCCGCTCCGTGCGCCAGGCTGCGCAGGAGGGAACATGACAGCAGCCGCTGAGGAGTTTCAGACCTTTCCTTCCAGGTCTTCAATGTTATTTGTATTTAGCATCGTCCTCTGGTGCTCCGGCCTCCTCCTGCTGTGCTGGGGGATGGCGAGGAGATATGCGACTCCCTGCCTCGCTCAGGGGCACGGCGGCTGTGCCAACCGCGCTGCCCCGCGCCGTGCCAGCGCCGGGCCGTGCCCGTGCCCCAGCCGTGCCCGCGGTGGCCGAGCCGGGCTGTGAGATAAGATA